CCTTCGCCTCTTTCCCCCTCTTCAACCGCCTCCTCTGCCTCAAAGACCACAACTTCTGCCGGCTCCGGGCCGCCGACCACCACCACTGCTAGCAACGGCGGCGGCGGCACATCCGCTTCTTCTTCGGCTTCGAATTCTGCCACTCAGACTGGTACCGCTTCCGGAACTGCCACTTCATCCGGGTCTGCTACCGGCACCGAGACTTCTGGCGCCGCGACTGGTACCACTGAGCCTTGCGCGACTGAGACTGGCTCCAAGACTCACACTGCTTCCGCTACAGCTACCGCTACCGGCTCCGAGCCTTGTGATGAGACTACCACTGTTGAAGTACCTGTGACGGAGACTATCCCTTGCACCACCACTGGTGGTTCTGGATCTCAGACCTCCGGCGGCTCTGGTTCCCAACCTACTGGTGGCTCCGGTTCTCATCCAACTGGTGGCCCCGGTTCTCAACCTACCGGTGGTTCTGGTTCTCAACCTACCGGTGGTTCTGGTTCTCAACCTACCGGTGGTTCTGGAACTTCTGGTTCTCAGCCCACTGGCGGCTCTGGTTCCCAACCTACTGGTGGCTCCGGTTCTCAGCCTACTGGTGGCTCTGGTTGCCCAGGTTGTGCTCCTGGAGAAACCAGCCCTGGATCTGGATCTGGCCCTAATCCCACCACCCTTGTCCCCGTCCCATCGGGTGGCGAAGGCGGTCATGGAGGAAGCGGAGGCAACGGTGGAAACGGCGGGAGCCCGTCTCCCAGCTCTCCTGTTATAGTCGCCGGCGCTTCCCGGGGAGAAATCCCCCTGGCCGTAGCCATTGCTGCTATTGTTGGCGCTGTGGGTGCTGCTCTCTAAGCGATATAATTTATTTGACTGCCATGTGGACGCGACCCGTTGTGGTGGCTCGCAAAAACGGCCCTTTTGGTCTCGACTCCACAACTACACATATTTATCTGGCCACTTTGAGCCCTTTCTATATTAATTGCAGATTGATGTTGTTCTTTTTTTCCAATGTGTCACGTCGTGGTGCCGTGTCACGGATAAGTTACACTTGTAGGTGCTTCACATGCATTTGTTCCCAAGACCATCATACCATCTTTGAGATGTAACGGTTCTGCAATAACACATCCCGCGTGCAGATCACGCCATGGCTTCTTTGTAGTACTATCTACTGTTCGATCATAACCCTTCTAGGTCGACATCGCATGACATGCTAAAGCAATTCATGTCAATTGGGCCCAGTGTGTTCCTGTTCGGCCTCGACTTCCCGGCTCTGCCGCCATCGGCCCTCGTCCTCGCCCCCAAAAGCGCCACCGGCCGTAGGATCTTGGAGCCATGAGGAGCTGAAATGTCTTTGAAGGGGAAGAGGGCTTGACATGGCGTGCGGGTTTGACCCACGGGGCCTTCTCCCCCAGATTTTGGGGAAGAGCCCTCGGCCGAGCGGTTACATCGTCCGGAGCTCAGGCCCGTTTTCGGACTGGCGGGAGCCAGAGCAAATTTGCTAATCATGTTCAAATTCACGCAATCCATCAACTGCTAAACAGCGGGGTAGATGGGGAAAGCCTTGTATCCCTTATTGTGGTGGAACGCCAGGGGTCTCTTCCTCCAACACTATCAAACGTATTATACGACTGCCATGTTCTGCGTTTCGTGTCTGTGCATCCTGATTCGATCACGGCCACATCTCCCCGGCTCGAGAACTGCCGCCATCTACAGATGTCCCACGGAATATCCCATGTTCCAGCCCATTTCATCGTGTCTTGGCTTCCGCCCACTTGCAACCCCCCTGGCCGGAGTGCCCATTCTGCTCGGTTGCCATGGACTGCCGGTTAGAATCTCGACTCGCCGTGCCCCTCCCCCGGAATCTGTCATGGGTTCTTGACATGTCGGCTTTCCTTTCGCGGGATTCTCGTTGGCCCGTCGAGGCATATTGTAATACCCTCCGCGGGCCTCGCCCATCACATAGGCCATATTAGGATGCGCAGTATATGGCCAGGCCCTCAGGATAAGGTTCCTGTTACGCTCTTTCTCGACCACACATGTCCGCGCGTGGCCAGAACGACCACAGCCATGCCCCGAAAGGAAGTTGCCAAGACGGAGGGCGTATATGAAACTATGGGGTAATATATGTGGTGTAACCACACTTGTGTGCAAGAAATGGACGGGCCTGGCGCGTACCTTACTTTCGTAGTGAGCATGACGCAGCATCGTTGAGACTAGGACGGTATTCACGTTCTTCGCCGAGGCTTCACAAGGAAACTATGCTATGTTGTCGTGCGATGGCGTGAGAGTGATGTCCGATGCCTCTCGTGATGTACTGCTATTCCATCAAGGCGTAGTATGGACTTGAAAAGTATAAAACAGGGCCAACAGCCCGCCGTTTCTAGACTTGAGCCGATCATCTTCATCTCGTCTTCCAACACTGCTCCGTACCACTGCAAATCACAACTTCCTTCAGTCTACTCCCAAAAACAACCTTATTCAAGATGCTTTCCATCAAGAACCTCCTCTTCCTTGCCGTCGCCGTCACCGGCTCAGTCATCAAGCGGGATGCTGCTCAGGTCAAGCAGGGTCTCCAGACCATCAACGCCGACACTAATGCCGTCACTACCGCCGTCAACAACTACAACAGCGGCTTCTCGCAGGCTTTGCCCATCGTGAATGCCCAGAACAAACTCAAAGATGACCTCAAGACCGCCACCAACGATGCCAACAACGCCGGCGTTGTCAGCGAATCTGACGCCGATGGTATCATCGGCTACATCACCGGCACGCTCCGGCCTTCTATTGATGCTTCCCTCTCCGCCTTGAAGTCCAAGAAGGCCAACTTTGACAAGGATGGCCTGACGCCCGTTGTCAAGAGTAGCCTGCAAGATCTCAAGACCGACACTGACAACCTTGGCGCCGCTCTTGTTAACGGAACTCCTGACAGCCGCAAGAGCCAGGCGCAGTCGATCCAGAACAAGATTGACGCCGACTTCGTCGACGCTATTAACCACTTTTCCTGAAGAAGCTCTGCTCTCTTCGAAGACGGGATTTCCTGCTTCACAATCATCTCGGGGGTGCGCAAACACACCCACTCGGCATACATGACAGCCCAGCGAAGAAGAAGTACATTTTAAATCGGTTCCGACATGAGTCTTTGGCCAATGCACATATATGTCTAGATAGCAAAATCTAAACAGTCATTACCATCTAGATTTTTCCTCTACAATTGACAAAGTTTCCGTGGGACCTGCCGCCTGCGTGTAAGTGATTGCGGCCACGTCTGCTCGAAGAATCAAGCTGCATGTCAACGTAGCCACAGCCACCCGCTCATCCGGCGACATTCGGGCCAGATCCCATTCCAGAAGAAACGATCTATTTCGGGCCAGCTTTCTGAATATCCACGGCTGTAGGCTGCGCTTGTACGCTCCACGGGATTCTCGCCCGCCAATGGGTTCTCAAAAGGACCCATGCATAAAGAGGCTATGCAGAACACTGTGAGGTGAGGAGGCAGCTCAATTAGTGTACTTGTATACCACGTGTCTTGAATTTCATGCGTAAGGCTCTTACCGGAAGCTCCCGTCGTTTCAGGAATCACGTACGATGACGAGAGGCGGATCACATCTAGCCTGATTAGAACACAATGGCCGCTTGTTCCCTCCTTGGTGACCCATTACGTGATGGTGATTATACGGTATTATGTGAATGCATCAAACGAACCAGTTGAGGAGAACTGGCGCATAGACACCGATTGTGACTCACCAGCCAGGCAAAAGCCCTAACCGTAGCGGGGTCTCATTCTACTGATTTTCTTAACTTATCATTCGCTTTTTACAGGTTTGCGTCTCATAAATACAGATACATGCTGTCATAGGTGTTATTGCTTGATGTTAACCTGCCACTTTTTTGGAACAACGTTGCAGCGTGCCCATGATGCAGGAAAGGAGCCGATTTGAGTGCAAACTCGATGTTGGCAGTTTGCATATGGCATAGCAAACTCCTTGACTGGCTTCATTCTTAGCTCGATATAGATATCCCGCTCATCGGCTTATAGGGCTTCTGGTAGCGATAGAAACCGAGGTCGAATGAGTGGTAGGGAACTGCCTTGAGCCACGTCGGCCATAACCACAACAAACACGTCTGTCAGTAAGAGTCCGAATGTTGCCATCGACTCTCGACAATAATTCTCGTAGCCCTTGCAGCTGCTACCAGGGATAACCCGGTCCACGGTCACATCTACCCTCTTGCTTGAGAAAACAAACCCAAAACACCACCACCACAACTACCTTTACCTCTATGCCAGACCCTACACCACTTTGCATCAAAATCCTCAGGGTTAACCGGCGCTGCCGATGTTTTGCAACGCGCGATAGTCATTTGCGGCTGCTGAAACTCAATACAAGGTATTACTTTATATCGCCGGGCTAGTCTGTATGAGTTCCGCCTCACCTTGAACCTGAAATATTAGTTTCGCTTCGGTTCGTCGAGTTATCAACCAGCCTCAGAGCCCCGTGTCCTCTCCTTTTTTCGGTTTCCTTTCTTTCTTCTTTATGCTGTCTTCGCCGTTTAATGAAGGGCCTTTTTCTTTGACTTTGCCCCGCCTGAATCTCGCCAGATTTTTTTTTTTTTCGTTTCCCTTTGAAACATGGCGGCGGGGTGAGTGCTTCGTCTTCTTTGGCCCCAAGATCGGCCCTCTTGGTTTGTCGTCAAAGAAAGACGGATAAATAGCAAGAAAGGCGGTGATATCAAGAAGTTCAACGGCGAAAGTGAGGAGGAACCCTTTCTGCAGAAACGACGTCTCTCGCTAGCTAGACTGCGGACCTGGAGATGTCGTCGTCGCCCTTTTATATGATATGCAGAAACATAAAGGGCCCTTGAGATACCATCGCATGGAAATGGTAACTTGTGTCATACAATGGTCTTACTCTGGATGAGCAATCTCTCTGGGGGTGTTTCTCAAGGCCATGGACATTACGGACCTGATGGTCGCAACGGCGGAAGCTGAAGAATGCCATGGCATGTTATGGCTGTTTCTTCTTGGCCCCCACGATTGCTTGGAACAACGCCGACCAGATGATTTGCTGCCCTGGTTTGAGATTTATTACTGCTAAAGATGAGACGTACTCGGCTTCTCATATGGGCAGATGTACGCTTCGTTGATGAGAATACTTCCGTCTGGAGGTGCTGGCATGAGTGCCATAACTGGGAACTGGATACGACGAGGGGTGTACGTGAAGGTTTCACTCCTTGATTAGAGAGAACATCTGTGTGTTTCGAATGGCAAAAGAATAAAAAGTTGAAATGCAACTATTGAGGAATCTCAGTCTCCTATGAAACTCGAACAGATCCAACGTTTGCATCTGAACGACAAGACTGCCCAGATCGTCGTCAGGCGAGGTGGCGTATCAAACATTGGTACTCTTAGCATGACTCCCCTCACAGCTGGGACTGATGAAAGGACAGGCTGGAGAGTCACACAAAGAATGCCTCCGTCACAATAGTGACAACTGCTCATCGACTTGGTAAGGCTTGAAATAGCCCGGCTGCACCCGCAGGATCATACGCTTTCTGAATACGTCGCAATCTATCTAGATTAGCGGCACCATACCCACAGAACACGTTTGTTTCTCATCTGCATAATCTTGAGAGATGTAGTCATGTGCGAGTCTTTGCTTCTTGGCGAGGGCGATGCTCTTAACGAAATCCGCAGCAGGGGTAAGGATGGATCCGCTCATCATCCGTCACACTTTTCCCAAGTAATTGAAATGTGGACGACTATCAAGATTCAGTATCAAGATACATAAGAGTGGGATTCAAGAAATGTACGAATGAGAGGGCTGGTCTCCGTTATGCCAATAGCGTTGCCGCCTCCCGACGTGAAATGCGATGAAATGACAGTAGACATTGGCTGGAACACCAGCGCAGGATGGACACTACTTGCGTCTTGGATGGCAGAAGTTCCTCAATATCAGTAATTATTTAGACATCGTTGTGGACCTTCAAGGTCCAAAATGTTCCTCGTAGCCAAGGCGGTTGAGCGGACAGGGCTCCAGCACCAAATCGGTCAAGTTGGTGAGGCGAGTCGTCGACTAAAGACTAGGAATGCCGGTGAAGCTCTGTAGAGTCGGAGCGTCGGCAGTGGGCTCGCTGTACTCTAATAACGTGCTATAAGAAGTAGGCGTTTGCAACAGACACATACGACATTTCAATAACGACAGCCGCACGGGGGTCTTTCGGGTGTTCGGTGCTGAATGTATATCAAGCATTGTACAACTCGGCGTCTTTATCTACAGTGCAAATGATTTCTCTGCCTCGCATCTGAAACTATTCATACGAACAAGATGAAAACCTGTGACAATGCCAAAGTTGTTTCCTCCACCTGGAAGAGCAAAGTAGAGAATAGAGATTCGGACGCTCTTGGCGCTCTGGACCGAACCATCCGCGAGGACAATCTGCAACGCAAGATGTTAGGTACGACACCGGTGAGAGCGGCTAGTATGCTTTAATTTTGATGATATTGTCAGAAGCCCATCCATATTGGCCGGAGAAAAACGCAATGACACCACCGAGAGTGAGGCCTCCTACGCCAACATCACCAAATCTGCCATCTACAACACTCAGAATCTTGGCGTCTAGATTCTTGTACAGTGTAGACCAAAGTACTCCTCCTCCGACAGAAACCTGCGTGCGATCCTTTGAAACCACAATTTCGTCAAGATTGCGCAAGTCAATGATCACCCCAGAGTGGCAAATGTTTAATGCGCCTTGAAACAAGGCGTGCCCGCCGCTTCTTTCTGCGAATTGAGAATGAATTGTTCCGAGTTTTCTCATTGCAACGAAAATATCAGCAGCCGACTTTGGCGCTATGCGACACGCAGGTCTTGGTCGGCTTCTCGACAAGACTAGTGGATTGTTCCCTAGTCCGTAAGTTGAGCTGCTGTCCGGAAAAACACTCTCCTGAGTCCTCCAGGAGCAAATACAACTCCTGGCGCTACAATTGCCCGAATAGTTACGTGTTGAACTGCGAGGATAATTAGCATCGTGCGATGACATACCGTGTCATTGCAACATGGGGTCTCTCAGTCATCGGTGAGCAGTGACGCTAAAGCATCACAGGCCGAAGCCAAAATAACAGATGGAATTGCAATCCACTTCATAATCAATTCAGTAGCTCTCTACAGCGCCTTCGTGGTAGTGCTATTCGACAGCAACTTTGCTTTTCAAGGAAATGTAAAGAGACTTATCAAGCTCACCCGTCGTGTATCTATAAGATGCAGGGAGGGAATTCCGTGTAAAACCGTCTTTATTCACGCCAATATAACCTGGCATAATAGAGCCAGGTTGTGTGACGGCCTGCATTTGGATAATGCTGGTAGCTAGGCGCCGCATGCGGCGGCATACAGCAACCTACAGTCTGAAGCAAAAGTAAGTATCAAAGAGAGGTGCAAGTATATCTCTTATGAATAAATTAACCTACTATACTACGCAAGCGGGTAGTTAACGACCGCCATGTATTTCTGCGGAACCTGTCGTCCGTTGACTCTAGCACCTCTACTCAAACGCACTGCTTCTTGTCTCGTGTTCTCCCAAGCAATGATTTCTCTGCCAAGAGACTACAGCCTAGTCGATTGCTGTAGCTCTTATACCTCAAAACTATAGATGAATGTAAACTACGTGCTTCATGAAACAATAGTCCAAATATTAACTGTCAATAAACCGCGATACGGCCATGGAAGGCAATTCAAGCTTCTGGTTCTCACGCAAATAGACGTGACGGCCAAAGATCAATTCGGGCATATTCCACTTGATGAAAAGTCGCAAACTCTTTCGGCCTGTTCCAAGTCATGTTAGATGAGAAACTCAAATAAGGTTGAGATTCTACCTGAATCATATCGGCGTCGGGCTGCTGAAGTCTCCGTGGCCCGATCGTCCGATGCTCCGGTACCGATGCCCGATTGTCACAGACATGTCATCAGCGCATCTCGATTGCAACGCTGGGACAATTCCATCAAACATAATCTTGCTTCACTTGAGTCGTATCGCGCAAGGCCTCGAAACAAACCCAGTGCACATATTTTTTCGAAGCCAAGCAAGCCACCCATTCAATCATCTAGGGCTGAAGCCTGAAAGCTCAGCGCCATGGCCGCATCACAACCGCCGCTCGCAAGCCGAAGACGGGAGAAGCCACAGCTATCCTGCAATCTATGCAGAAGTAGAAAGTAAGAACATTCGTCGCCAAGAGCCGAGTACATCTCCAATCCTCAGTGCACCTTACTGACGAACAGGCAAGGATGCGACCGGCAACGACCATGCGACGCGTGTGCATCCCGCGGTCTGTCCGGTTCATGCCACTACCCTAATACCACATTCGTGCATTCTCAAAAGACTCAAAGGCTTCGTCTACGTTCCAGGGGCGACTCAGTCATCTACTAGAGGGGCTGGTGGTTCAATTGATGAACAAGTCGGCAGCCGAGCCGCGCCTCCGTGCGAAATGCTCCGATACACTGCCAACTACAAGCGACACTGCAACAGCGCCAATGACATCAGACCATTCAACAGCCGGGAAACTGCATGTGGATGATTCGAAAACAGCATATGTCAGCGGTTCACACTGGAAAGCCGTGCTGGAGGGGATCTCCGAGTTGAAGATCCTCAGCGAGGCAAAACCAGATGACGACGACAGGCCTTCCCCGGAGCAACAGACAGAGTATGGGCTACAGGATAGCATTCTCATCCCTGGAACTACAAGGGAACGTCCCAAGCTTTTATACGGATGGCACAAACCAGCTTCCGTGGCCGATATTCTGGCAGCCATGCCGGAGAGGAGTGTCGTGGACCGGCTTGTATCCAGCTACTTCAACAATCCGCCCATACCACACGGTTGGTAAAGCACCATATTTGCCACGCAGACAGGATAGCTATACTGATATTGAGACAGTTCTTTTGCACTCAGACAGCTTTTCCCGACAAGTATGCAAAATCTAATCCCCGGTAACCTGCATCTTTGCAGTCATCACTAACAAGTTGTAGTATGAGAAATTCTGGGCTGACCCGTTCAACACGCCCCTGATGTGGATAGCGCTCCTATACGGCATCATGTGTCCAGCCACGCAAGCCGAAAACTTTCGAAGCCTGATGCTCGAAAACAGCTTCACCCCACAAACGCCCGTTCCGAGCATGCCTCCCTCGCGCCCAAAGTACCTCGACCAGGTGTAACAGAGCCTAATAGCAGGAAACTACAGCAACGGCGGGCCTTTTGCCATTGAGGCCCTCCTACACTCCAACATTGTCGAGCAAACGAGGTGTCCCGATGCCGACATCGGGACCTGGCTGCTGACAGGCATGATAATCCGCTTGGGCTTCCGCATGGGCTACCACCGCGATCCTTCGCACTTTCCCGGCATCACGCCGTTCCAGGGCGAAATGCGACGACGAATCTGGGTTGTCATGCATGCGTTAGATGTCATGACATCGCCACTGCTGGGGTTGCCTCGCGTCATCAAAGACGGACAATGGGACACGATGCAGCCGCGAAACATATACGACTCCGAATTTGACGAAGATGCCACCTGTCTTCCGCCGTCGCGGCCCGAGTCTGAAGCCACGCCCGTCTTGCACCTGCTCGCAAAGCACAAGATGCTAGTGGTGATTGGCACCATCGCCGATACAAGCATGAGTGTGGCGGCAGATCGGTGCGGCCCTTCAACTCTAAAGACTGAGGGGAGAACGGTGGCCCGTTTGAGTGAGGCGTATGACTTCATCCCGGCGAATGCAAAATTCGATACCGTTTCTAGGATTTCGTCCAGCAAAGCCAGCGACATCTTGAACCGACTAAGTATCACCATGTTGTTGCAAAAGGGGCTCATCGTTCTTAACTGGCGCCATGTCATGCCGAGAGGCTCCGTCACAAGTCCAGATGTTGATCCTGTCGGAAGTAGTGGCGGGTGGTTCCAGGACGACACGGAAGGTTATCAGATTTGCATACAGGCCGCTTTGGAGATCTTCCAAGTACAAGAGACTATTGACCGCGAGACCCAGCCGGGTGGCGTTCTCTTCCCGCTCACCCTCCTGCTATACTCGGTCGTCAAGCACGAATTCCTCATGGCAACCACCGTTCTCGTCAGTCACATGTACCGCACTGCGGTGCCCCGGCCAGACAACCAACAAAATTCCAAAGAGAGAATGCTCTCGCAGCAAGTAGAAGTGGCGCTCAGGAAGTCACACGAGATATGGATTCGCCAGAGCGCGCTGTCCAAAGAGGCACTGCGGGTAGCCAACTTGCTCTCCGTGCTGTTTCGGAAGCTCCAAGACGTGGAAATTCAGGGGCTTTGCAAGACGAGAGCATTGGTTCAGACTCCAAGCATGCAATCCGATGATCAGGGGCTCGCGCTCTTTGGAGAATTCGGTCTCCTGCACCATTTAGAAGACTTGAGTGCATTTCTCGATCTCCCCGTAACATGAAATAACCAGTCGAGCAGTATCTTACCGGCATCGTCATAAAATGTCTCCTTGGCCTTTACCGACCGCAGGTGGCCAATTCCATTGCTCAGCTCGCAATCATGGTAGAATGAATACGTCCTCCCTTCACACTCGACAATGAAATGCTGCGTCGTCCACCCCAACACAGGCTCCAACATCCTCCGCCGTATATAAACGGTAACGGGGAAAAAAGGGGGGGTTTTGTAGCAGGTTTAGCGCTGAACACCTTTTATAGCACCAGCATGGGATGTTATTAGGAGAGGTCAAGTGGGAGTATGGCACATGTAGCAAAACTATCGAGAGATTGCAGCCATGTTTGGATCAGAGATGAAGTAGGCGGCTGCGGCTCCATCTGCCATCTACATCAGGACGTCGCGTCTGGAGTTTCCGTCAACTCCATCTCCAACTCCAAGCCGTCCGTAATTGAATCAAGTACTACTTACGGCCGGGTCAGCGTCCCCGGAGCTGTAAGGCTGCCCTTATACATGAAGTTTGTCGTTTCGCCGACCCAAAATTTGGTCGACACCCGCGAGCCCACCATGCACTCATCGACGCTAACGGCAGGGTACAGTTTTCCCTTGATATCCGTGAACGCTTTTCCTACAAGGAAGGCTCTCACTAGGTTCTCTAAGAATTTTCTTTGTTCGAGGTCCGGTGAGTGATGAGCAATCTACCTAGGACAACTTCGTCTCTGGTGTAGAAAGCAATGTGTTCATCGAAATTGATGCCACACCCTATGACGGCATTTTCGTCGTACTTGGCGTCGTAATCGGCGTCGCGCCCTTCAGCAAATGCCTGTCCTTCATCTCCACGGTAACCCCATGAGCGTTCGTGCCAGCCAACCATGGTATTAAGCTCAGCATGTTCCTCGCAGAAGCCTATCCCCCACCTCCTAGACAGGCACTTCGGTTAGGCTCTTGTGCCGGGAACAGCGGATAGTGTAGACACATATATACCTAAGGTCTTGACTCTTCTCGATTTTCACTTCAAGATAACAGAGATTATTAAGCTCTGGGATAGGCACCATCGGAAAATCGGCGCGAATCGCTGCATAGGCCTCCCCCCCGCTGCCGCCTGGCTGCCCTGTAAGATGAAAATAGCTACTTCATTATGCAAAAAAAGAGAGAGAGAGATCAAGACTTCGGGAGTCATGTGGGCTTGCCTGCTCCTGGAGACACACTCACCAGAAACAGTAACCACTCTCCCGTCGCTGCTGACACTAAAATTCGGCGACCCGATCGCTATCTGACCACCTCGCCGGTCGCTTGGGCAAGCACCTTGAAGCTTTCTCTTCAACTTCCCCGTTGGTGAGTGAGAGCGTAAAATCATTACCATACTGCTTTGCAGTGTATCTCGGCGACCAGCCCTCCGCATCTGGCAGGTCCCAGATTCCGGGATTCGTATAGAGAAGCCTGTCGATGAAATAGCTCCCGTGTGATGCAACGGCGGCGCCCAAGGCACCTGCGAAGTGGCTGGAGTAATTTTCTTCTGGAACCAGACGACGGCATATCCTTTCAGATATTGCGACGGAAGCTTGACGAATAGCCCAGTAGAGTGCTCCGCGGCCGCGACAGTCCACGATGCTCGGATCTGCTCCCCGTTCAAGCAAAATGCGCACAGTTTTATCCTGATCATTCATACAAGCGTACATCAACGGTGTTTTGCCCTCGTTGTCAGTGATATCAAGATTACTTGCCATTCTGATCAGTTCTTGGAGGCAAATGCTATGTCTGATCACCGCTTATGTGAGAGGTGTGCGACCGTAATTATCAGCTTGTTCGAAATAAGAACCACCACGTTGGATAAGGTAGTTGACGATACTGTTTCTCTGCAGGTTTATGGCATAAGCCAAGTCTCAACAGCCATGCCTGTCCTTCACATCGAAATCCGCTCCTCGTATGTCAAGGGCTCTGAGGATATCCACCTGACCCCGGTCAATGGCTAGGTGCACTATATGTTTGAAGCTTTCTTTGCCGGATACATCTTCTATAGGCCCTTCAACGAGGCCCAAGAGCGCATTCACCATGGTCGTGTCGCCAGCGCGGAGCGCGTCCTCAAGGGCCCCTTCATCCCGTGCTCCGGCATCCAGGAGCACCGGGAATAGAGAATGCAGCTTATGCCTAATAGCATACGAAAGGAGCGAACGCCCGTCTTTACACCTCCTGTGTATGTTGGCTCCGGCTTTGAGCATCGTCTCCAATATATCACGGTCTCCCTTCATCACAGCGAGGCACAGCGGCGAATCTACTTCACTCTCTTGGCAGTCGATATCGGCCCCTTCCTGGATGAGTCGCTGAACCAGGGAACACCGGGTGTACCGGACAGCCATCTGTAAAGGTGACTCCTTCTTCTTGTCTGCTGCATTGACTTCAGCATTTGCATCGAGCAGCTTCAAGGCTATGCTGACCTGACCTTGATTCATGGCGCTCTCCAGGGCGGTGCCAATGGATTTGTGACGCATGTTCACGGCTGCTTTCTCCTTCAAGAGCAGATCCACCATCTCACTATTACCTTTGGGCGCTGCCGCCTGTAGAGCCGTGTGGAATCTCCCGCCGGTGGCACTTATGTCGGCGCATTTTGCAAGGATAAGCCTGGCTATCAACACATTCCCTCCCTCGGCGGCAGCTATCAGAGCCGTACCGTATCTGTCGCTAACATTGTCCACCTTGGCTCCTTTCTCCAAGAGAGATCTCACTGATCTTTCTCCCTGCTCCTTGGCGGCAAGGTGAAGAGGAGTACTTCTATCGAGACTTTGGGCGTCTAAATAAGCCTCGTACCTTGCCAGGGGCTCGAGCATTTCAGACCCTCGGCAGCCGTTGACCGCGCAGTGTAGGCTCGTCTCGCCATCCACGTCGGCCACGTCAGGATTCGCCTTGTGCCGCAGAAGCAGCTTGGCTACATCATAGTCTTCAAAAACCGCCATCGCGAGTGCCGTCACGCCACTTTTGCGAGTTTTACAATCCACCTCAGCATTCGCCTGGAGGAGAAGCTTGGTTATATCTGTGTTGTCATGTGCTGCGTGCAGAGGCGCCCAGCCACGCAACGCGGCTCGCTTCCTCACGTCTGCTCGATATTTGGGATCCTCAGACTTCAGCAGTGCCTGAACAGCATCCAACTTCCCGAGGTAGCAGGCGATGTATAGCGCCGTGCGCCCCCTCCTCGTCCTCTGCATCCAGATCTGTACCCGCAAATATCAGGGCTTCGGCGATATTACCATAGCCCTTCTCTGCGGCCAAGTATAGTGGTGTCCTCTTATATGAGTCATTGGCATTAACATCTACTGAAGCACCTAGTAGAAGTTTGACAGACGCTAGGGAATTTCTGAATACCGCCAGGTGTAATGGCGTGTACATACTACCGCTGTTGTCAGGTTCCGTACAAGTCCACTGGTTTCTCTCTAGCAAAACCTGTAAAATCTCAGCATCGGCTACCAGTGTCTCGTCATGGAAAGGAGACTGCAGCTGAACGCAGCCAAGGGTAGTTCTTGCACAATCGCCACATGGCCCCTCTTGGCCGCAATATCAATGGCTTTCCGGCCTTCTTTGTCCCTAGATTTAGCGTCCGGTGCCTTTTCAATGAGCTCTCGAGTCGTCAAGCGGTGCCCACTAGCTGCAGCTAGTAGGAGGGGTGTGTCGTTGTTGTCGGTAACCAATTCAATGTCAGCGCTGAGTTTCAGCAGCTCCTTGACGGTCCTGAAATCTCCAAAATTTGCTGCCATGTGAAGTGGTGTCCATCCTTTCGCGTTCTTTGCGTTGACTTCAAATTGGGGCGTGTCTGGGAGCATCAAAATCACACCAACATGCCCTTCTCGAGCAGCAATATGAAGCGGTGTGTTTCCTTCCTCGTCAACGACGGTGTTCCTGATGCCGTGCTTTAAAAGTCGCTTCACAATAGAGGCATGGCCATTGGCGGCGGCCAAGAAAAACGCGACGCTGCAATTGTAGACGCTGTGACCTATTTTCGGCTCCAGGAGCTCCTGGACTACGGCTAGATGGCCATTCTCGGCTGCCAGTTGCAAAGGCGTGCGGTTACAGTGGGCAGTGATGACAAACGAACCCTCAAGAGATTTATTCTCATCACTTGTGACATGAGTTCTTTCAGGAATGTCATGAGCCTCTTTGACTCGCAGCAACTGCTGAAGAATATTCAAGTAGCCCCCAGCTGCTGCGAGATGAAGAGGGGAGTATTTGCTGTTGTTCATACGGTCCACACCATTTGGCGACTTTTTGAGAAGAATACCAACCGTGAGCGGGTGACCGAATTCGGCGGCTAGATGGATAGCCGTGTTGCCACTTCTCGATGGCTTCAGTGGATCAACCATTTTGTCTAGTAATTCACGAACGATTTCACTGTAGCCTGCTTTAGCTGCCAGTTTCAGGCCGTCGTAACCATCCGAGTCCTCTGCTGCAAGATTCACCCGCTGGTTTATTAGCATTCGTACAATCAATATCTGTCCGGTTCGGCACGCGAGATGAAGAGCAGTAGAGCCTTGGCGTGTTGGCTTCTCCAAGTCGGCTCCTTTTCTTATCAGGAACTGAACAGATTCCCCGTGCCCTCGACAGGCCGCTTGATGCAAGGGGGTGTAGCCAGTCGAATCTATCTGATCGATTGACATCCTTGTTGAGAGTAGGCCCATCACGTTATCGAATCCATTGGCCGATGCCAAGCACAATGCATCGATGGATGTAATTCCTTCGCGGAGGAGAAGGTCGACGATCGTAGAGCGGCCTTGGCTCGCAGCTAGGTTCAGAGCGTCTTGAAGCTCGCTAGAACTTCATACGGTGGATTTGGCGAGAACAAGAGAATCATTAAGAAGATCATCCAAACCAAAGTAGCATACCACTTTGAGACGGGTATCAAGGGTGTGGCCTTTGGCAGTCAACGTTCCGGCTCGTTTGTATTCTCTAGCCCAGAAAGTCACAGGCCTCGTCTCTGCCAAAAATTGGGAAACCTTGAGGATTGCTTGGATCTTCGACTTTGGCTGCACAAGTTTTGTAATGCTCCGGCCAATACAGGCAGGAATAGTCGACGAGAGCCACTTGCGCGTCTGACAACACCAACGTTGGCTGGTTGTTGGCTAGAACAATGCTGCTGTGTTGTATCAACATCTCGATATAGTCTAGACATCGTGTCAGAATCTCAAAATGGGGATCCGTAGCTCTGTCATCACGATCCTGTATACGACTGGCTTGCTCCACCGGACTGTCGAATTTAGACAGATAATCTCTCAAGCTCCGATGGAAAGGCAAAACTTGGCCGTCAATGACCCTTATCAGGGGCCCTACAATGTGGAAAAGATCCGCCGTGATGCTCACTGAGATATGATTCTTGAGGAGTTCGAAAGGCTGGTCCTTGGATTCATGCAGTGCGACGGCTACGGCTAGTTCTCGCTCCGACAATGGCCGTACTGCGTGCACAATCCATCGCAAGGCGCAGCCCACCCAGTTGTCCATCGACACTGTTGCAATTGAGCGATTGTACGACTCGTTTAAGGTGCGAGGCATCCGGTCGATCTCTGCCTGAACGGATGGAAGGGTCGACTGCGTCGCCGCGGTTCTTAACAGATCCATGCTCCTGACCGCAAGCAGGTAATTTGGTTTGCGGCCGCAGAGTTTTTCGATAACTTGATCTTGAAGTTTCTTTTCGCGCCATATTCGGTTTTCTGCTGCGAGTTGCGACAGGCTAGCCCGGACAAAGTTCTCCACGGCTGACTTATTGTCACCTTGATTGTCTAAATCGATCTTCTATGAGCGTTTTGGTGGGGACTTGAGCGTAAAGGAAACATCACTCGTAAGGATAATCTAAACTGGGCCTTGAGTGAAAGACATAAACTCACTCAGTCGCTTGAGGGTGGAGTTGAACGAGACATTACATTCATGCAAGGGATTAATAACACAAACAAGAGGTGTGCCAACCATGTAAAGGGAGAAATGCAAGGCTAGTGAGCGAAGGACACTCCATAGCGTCTCTGTTGTGATGAGCCCTCGTAGTATGAGGAACGAGCAAGTCCACATGACGTGATGGAACAACGAGGGGAGCGCCAGCAGAAGTTGCCGACACAGGGACAGCAGTAGGCTGTTAAAAGTCCGGGCTCGGATGTCTTGTCTGTTAAATGAGAAGCTCAACACAAGCGCTCTTTCCGAGTCCGGCTTTTGAGAAGCATTTGCAGTATGTAAGACGCAATGCCAGTGGTTGCAGAACCAGGCGATCCTGTGATATGTAGGATACTGGCTCTGACAACCCAGTCGAGCGAATTTGGGAGGGCCTTAATCGGCCTGAGCCGGTGTGTATTAGGATCAATGGACGCTAAAGCTGAAACAAAGTGGCCAATCTGAAGTCTCACAGCTGCATGGTGACGAGGGTCAGCTTTGGGCTCATATATCAAAGGTCCCATTGAACCTACGGTCGAGGCCTATGCTGGTCACGCCCTCCAGATTAGCACAGATGAGTTCAGTAGTGGAGTCGCCGTCTCCAAAATCCCAGAATTGGGTGTGATCGCAGTCGAGCTCTACGTTATGCTCCTTCGCGACATCCAGGCGCGCGCAAGCCTCGGCTATCGTCTAAAGGAGGACACAATCAGCTTGAAGAAGTTAGGACCAAGAGAAAGGGTTAGGGTTATTAACACCCACTGGTCTAGTCGATCCGATACTGTTACGCTGGAGAAAATCGATGATGCGGAAATGATGAGAAAGAGTAGAGAAATCCGTGCTAATGTCCTCGAGTGCTTGAGGAAGCTGCTGCAATAGCTGCACTGCGCTTTCCGCGAGAGCACTCGTAATAGACAATAGGCGAGCTATGTGTTGCTCCTAAGGGAACATTTCCAAGGCTTTGTGCGGCGTGCCAAAGAACATTTATGTGCGGTTAGTCCCAGGGACCTAAGAGATAAATTTATGGGCAGTATTGCTTACAATAGTCCCGATATCCATCATAATGAGGTGGTATTTTGGCTCCCCCGTAGCGAGGCGAACGATCTACTCCCGGACTTGTCACCAGGTTATATCTCGAGTATTTGAAGTTCTAGTGCTTATCTTACTTCTATGACAAGGGAGCCTCCGAGATCACATCCCATGAAGAAAAGCGGCAGTCCTTGTTTGTATTCCTCCGGTGGTAGTTGGCTTTGCACCTTGAGATTAACGTTCCAGGATTACGTCTCGACTCGCATCGTCTTTATTCCTGTTACCAGCGACTTCGTCCAAAATGCGGCAAGCTTGTTGGCTGAAATCAGATGGCCCATAGTCCTGCTCATGCGACCGACATGGAAACTGGTACTCGTGTAAGATGGCGTCCGGGAATCTAGTCTGCAAAAAGCTGCATCCACGGCTCGGTGCCGATTCCTCGATTCTCGCGGTCGCGACCCCGTCATTCAAAACAAGCCTACGTGCTGTCAGCGCGAGTCGTATGTTGCGGCATTGGTAGGCTGCGGCGCACTGGAACTGGATACTCATGCCGACAGGGCTACTGCGCCCACAGGCGACCAAAGAGTCTGGCTTAATAGGTGATTTGGAAGTTCCTGGTCTCGAAGCTACAGAGGTCTGGCGATCTTGACCACGATAAGCTCACATCGCAGTCATTTCCAATGTTTGTCATCTGGTCCAAGATGGCACGCGCACTGCTGAACCAAAGAAACTATTATTGATGATGGACATACGCCACAGCATCCGAGTGAGGATCGCCTGCAGCAAGCACCAGGCAGGCTAGATTGGCGGGAATATGCGACTCAAGCGGCGCAACTTCATCCTGCGGCGGTGGCTGTCTGGACAAAGGACTTGCGCGCTCACGGGAAACGGAAAAAGAAGAAGAACCATAAAAACAATCATCAGTTTTTGAATGAATCATTCAATGATGCATCAAATACGCCAATCGTGAGCCAAGTGAGGCATCGTAAATCCAACAAACCCCACTCACGCCGTTAAGTGCATATGGGCGTGTTGCAGGCGAAACGCTTAACTGTACAGAAAGGACAGATGGTCACGTTTAAAACGATATGCTTGTGGGATAAAACGGTAGTTAGTAGTTACTCCGTAAGGCGGAAGGAACTTGGGTAGATTTGGCGGGTGGACACGAGAAAATGGACAGGACATGATATCCCCTACTAACAACGTGACATCAGGACAACAATGGATGTACCGGGCCAATGCCTAACTACCTAGGTACCTAGGTACCTAGGTAGGTAGGTAGGTAGGTACTTAAAGTACTTAAGTACACACCCATTCAGTTTTACAGTGGCGCCCTTTGTGCTAGACTCCAGCCCAATATGCACCAGACCGCAGCCGTGGGGTGCTTCCTAACGAATGCATCCACCACGGCACGAGCCGCGGCTCCTGTGCACTTGGCCCAAACAGCCGTAGCTTCATTGTCCGGTACTTCGCCAAAAATAACCTCGATAGGAATATTCATACTTATAATACTTAAACAAACTCGGCTTGCGCCTCCCTACCGCAGCAAAAATACCAATAAACCAGACCTATTTAGAACAGTTTAAAGGGGCGTGGTGGGTGGCCAGTCTCGACCCTCTTTTGACGTCGCGTGCATGCCTGTCGTGCTCTCTCACTCCTCACTTTGTCTTCTGCCCAACCTAAACATGGGAGATCCTCGGCCAATATATGCAGACCACGACACAACCTCACGGGAACAGCCCGTGATAATACGTATTTTCCCCCGTTTCAGGGTACCCATTTATACGGAATCCGGGGGCAAGACTGCATCTTGAAACGAGTCGCCAGTGTCTTTCCGCTTTGAGCATCTCAATATAATCTATAGGTACTCGACCATCTTTGAATACTTCGTACGGGCAAGAAGACGTGTTCTGGATTTTCTGTGAATTGAGCAATAGTGCTGGGAAGTCCAGGAGCATGGCTTGCAACTCTGACGAAGCTCAAAGTGTGGAGCGCAGGACTGCAAAGGGAGGAAAAGAGCAGAAATCTCGGAAAGGCGCAAAAAGGGGTCGGAGACCATGTCTCAAGACGACCAAGTCAAGTCAGGAACCATCTCCCTCAAATGCTTCCAAGCCCCGCCCGCCGCCTACTTCACCACCAAGAGCCGAGCAGATCACACAGTAAAGAAAAAGCTCAGGAGCTGAGCTCGGCTAATTCACCGGCCAACGTAGAGGACGAGTTCAAGGCGCTGTTTGCGGAATACGAAGATCTTTTGAAGAAACCCAGAGTCAAATCAGCTGGGGAACATGGCGAACACGTCTTATTCACGCTCCTGGAAAATAAGTCCATGTACGACAGCTGGTCTAGCTGGTGTAACGGCCATGTTGGCATCAAGTATTTCCTCAAGAAGCTTTTGGGAAAACATCATCACCTTCTTGATGCCAAACATCCAAACTTGCAATACAATACGCTTGCCTACGCGCTGGTCTTTAAGCAACACGACTTCATCGATGTCGTGCTCCAGGTCAACAACATTGAAGGTCTTCTATATCAAAGGGACGGGAGGAAGATCTTCAACTGCCTCTTGCTTGCCCTCGAGCACTTGTCTCCGTCAATGCCGATCCTGACACGGAGGTGCGCGAGCTACCCTGGTATCTTTTACGAAAAAGACCTCCGAGGACAATACCCCTGTACACGAGGTCGTGCAGTTCATGAGAGAGGAGGCTACGGAGGACATACTGAAGGATGTTCTGAAAGAAATGCTTCCACAAGAGCAAATGGAGGATGATAGCTCAAACGGAGAACAGTCCGAAGCAAGGGACGAAGATCAAGGCACATTTAGCGCTAATATTTCCGAGGGGGGAACTAGCCTGCAAGATGATGATCTGAAAGATGATGAAAGCGAAGCGTCATCATTGCAAGCGGAGGGGTCGGAAATTGAGGCTCATGAAGACGACGAGCCTAATACGGAGGACGACAAAATAGGGACGGAAACTCCGGCTGCGGCGGCGTCCGCAGAAACTACATCGACGAATCTCAGCATGTTAATCCCGGCGCTTGATTGTCGACTGCTTATCGTCGAAGATATGCTCAAAGCCTGGAAAATGGCCTTGAAAGCTACCAATAAGGCAGGGAGAACGCCATATCAAGAGCGAATTGAGAGGTTGAAGGAATGCCAAGCCTTCAAAACGTTGCTTTCAGTCATCAAGAATGGTGACACAGAAGAGGTGAAGAAAGAAGCTTTGCGCAAAGTAGTGGTTGCAGACCCTGTAGCACAGCACATCTTAGCCTTCTGTGTTCGCGAGTTTGATAACCGTGATGATATTGTTCAGTTTCTTTACCAGTCGGATGATGGTATGTAGAGAAACATGTCTGCCTAAACAATTGATTAGCTTTATACTGACTAGACTAATAGAACGTCACCTAGATTTTGATCTAGCCGGTCTTCCGAAAACTTATATTTCACTATCATTTCTCAGGGAGCTAGGCACACACATCCGCTTCGAGAGCGTGCTCAAATACGTGGCTCTACCAATGCTATCTGTTGAGCTACCAAAGACTCAGCAATTCGCCAGGAAGTAAGCAAAGATCACGAGGATAGCTCTGCGTAATCCCCAACCCGCTAACACACGCCTCGTTCTAGGAAGCTTCCTCAGGCAGAGGTGAAGAGTATGACTGACTTGAGAGCCGTCTTTGAATGGTTGCGACAGAGCCAGGTAAAGAAGATCATCAAAGTCACCGTCATAGATTATGGTGGACAGCGCCATAGTGATCCCGCCATCGAAGAGGCGCTTAGAGGTTTCGACGTGGAGGTCTGGGATTGGAAAAAGGTAGATTTGTGCAGCGATGTAATATTCAATTGCGCGAGCTCTGTAAGAGAGATATCCCTCTATCCTTCTGGCAACGGGGCCGCCTTGATGGGTTGGTCTGGCCCCAAGGGCTTCGGGAACCGTAAAAAGTTCCCCAAGGTATGGCCATGAGTTCTATAAACAGCTGGCGACTTGCAAAAATAGTATTCAAAGAAGGCTTGCTAATATGGGTACAGCTGCGCAAAATAAATCTTTACGTACGACAGGTGAGCAGACTTGAAACAAAGAGGTTATGCAACGGAATGTTTACCAGCCATTAAGGGCGAGGACGACACCGAGTTCGAGCGCGAAAGGCTGTTGACCGCGATTAATAACTTCAAGACACAATTGAATATCATCCATAGGGGACCAAAGGCCCTTGAGGAATACGTATTGGCGTTTTTTATCAACGGACTACAGTCAGAGCACCAGACATTCTTCCGAGCCAAGAATGCCAAGCAGCTGGCATCGGAAGGCCAGTCATTGATTCAGCGTCTAAAGACAATATCACTAGACCAGGGGAGTATCGCAAAGAAGGAACAGAGTGAAATTGAGGTAAAGGAATATCTGGACACGAAAGATTTCACTTATGCTTCCGACTTCCGAAGCATAGCCGAGAATGAAGAAGAGTGAGTAACTCGCTGTTCTATCATAAGGGGACAAGCCTAACCTCAATGTAGATCGCATCCCTGGATTGGATGCCTAGACAGCTTCCGCAGGTTTCTCTGTGGTTGTCAGGAAGCAAAGGCCACGCCTATGAAGATCGCCATCATCCATGATGGCATCGACGCGAGCGACCCATCCCTCCAGCGGGCAATCGCAATGGGCAAAAGCTTCTCGCACTACCCCAACTCGACCGAGTTCATGAATGCTTATTTCGTTCCATCGGGCAAGCACGGAACTCAGATGGCCAAACTGATAACCCAAATCTGTGCCGATCCGCGTCTCTTCATCGCCAGGCTAGAGGAACGTTTAGCGCCAGATGACAGCGGGCGACGTATCACGGCAGAGTCTGCCGCCAAGGTAAGTGAATTGAGGCCATCCCCTATCGAGCTTCCTTCCTAAATAACCCGAAAGGCAGTGATGTGGGCGGTTGACTGCAAGGTGGACATCATATCGATGAGCTGGACGATAGAAAACGGGACCACGAACAGCGAGGACATCGAAGCGCTTCGCAAGGCCGTGAAAAAAGCCCACAAACAAAATATTCTCATGTTCTGCTCGACGAGCGACTCGGGTGGCAGCCAGGACGACCGCTCGTTCCCGGGTCAGTGGTTGAACGAGTGCACGCGGATTGGTGGCGCCTCTCACCAGGGACAGAAGCTTGCCCGGGTGAACGAGAAGTCCGTCCAGTTCCTCTTGCCGGGCAAACGGATCCCCATCAAAAACAGCGACGGCAAATCTCATTCATACGAGACCGGGAGCTCGCTGGCTACCGCTTGCGCCTCCGGACTTGCCGGCTTATTGCTCCATTGCGAGCGGTTGCTGGGGTGGAAGGTCATCGTGAACAAGGATAAGATGCATAACGTCTTCAAGGTCCTCGTCCAATGGGGCCAGTTTCCCCACGTACGGCACTACTTCGATAAACACTTCAAAAAGTTCTACGGTGACGAAATCGGTAATAAAACGGCCCTTGTGGATATTCCGAAGCTAGACTGGGATAATGAGACGAGAAAAGCACTGGAAAATCTCATGACTGCATTAACGACTCACATATCAGCTTAGCAAGTTGCGAGTTGACGAATGCTACTAGGTTCACGAGGACCCGCGATTTTCATCAACGTTTCAAAGAACAGAATTGAAGTCCCATACCTCTAATAAAGCCCATTCTCAAAAGCAATTTTGTCTTGATCATCCAGATGCATGTGCACTCCCGCGGCGTGGCGCCGCCCGCCAATGATATGGGCCACGCGCCACATGTAACTATGTGCTCCTATCAAGCAGCGCATTGATCTGGGAACATTTAAATACAATAGTAGCCTAGCCTATCCCAACAAATTAAAAGCATCCGGTATGGTGTAGTGGCTAACATCGCTCGCTCTCAAGTATCCTTATCAAGTATTCTTACCGAGCAGCCCAGGGTTCGATTCCCTGTACCGGAGAATTATCTTTTTTGGAGGTTTTCCCGTCCGTGCTCTGTCGTTTAACGGCAGCCGCTGTTCTTTTTATCCTTGTTAATTGAAGCGGCTCGCTACTCACCTGCTGCATTCACCCGGACGGCAGAACTGGCTCTAGGACCAGGGAATTCTATTTCGTTCCCATCTGTCCAGCCTCATCAAGAAGTCCACTCGAAAAAGTCATCATCATTATTACTCGTTCGTATTGTAGAGCCTCAAAAATCCTGCACCCCAGTCTCGCCCGCCGCGCCCCCATCCCCAGCCCAACTCGGCTCCTCATCATCAAACCACCGGTCTTCCTCGTCCCGCCGCAACACCACGTCAAGCTCCTCATTGCCGTCTACCCTAGCGTAGTCAAAGTCCTCATCCCCACCACGTATAAACCGCTCCCGTAGAAACTCCTTCCACAACTCGAAACCCTGCTCCTTGGTGCTCGCTTCCCCGTCCCAGGGATTGTCTATATCCGACGCGGCGTGCCACCTGTGCTTGGCCGGCGACAAATCCTCCCGCTGCTCGCCTGCGGCCTCGGTGGCGAGCGCGGAGAGTCGAGTCTCCCCGCGGGCAAGGTCTGCTTCAAGCACGCGTCCGTAGCCCTTGGCTTGGCCTTCTTGCTGGCGCTCCGAGGAGGTCTGATGCCGCTTGATGAGGCGTTCGTACAGAACCGGGTCTGCGGCTCGGGGTATTAGCCATGGACCTGTTTTTACTAGACGTGAATAGCCGTGGCCGGGGGGGGGGGGGGGGGGGGGGGGCGGCTAGGGCCCTGGGCGTC